ATATTTATGTGACAAGATGAGGAGGAAGTGATTTAATGGTTAGGGTTTAAGATACACCAATAGCTAAAAGTGATATGGGTGCTGATAATTGTTAAAGTTATTTGAATTTTGTGACAGTTGTTAGAAGCACTCCGTTGTTTGTGTCGTTCTGTCGGCAGTGCACACGAGGAAGTGTTGTTCTGGCTTTGTCAGACGGGAAATCGATGCAACTGTTCTGAAGTAAGAAATATCGAGAGCAGTTGGGGGGGGGGGAGTAGTTTTTTGAGCAGAGCATAGACCACTGCTGAAGAGGGTGAATCACGTGTTAAAGAAATTTGGCAGCCAATACGATCTCCTTCACCCTCCTCCCCCTCCCTGCTCTCCCGAGCCTCATCTGGTCTCCCACCACATTTTCACTTTTGTAAGGAATCCCACTTCCATCCTGTGTACCTCAAAGTACACCCTATTTGCCGCCGAAAATCTGCTGAACGGGTAACTGGAGGGTGAGGTAAGCCAAGGAGTTGGAAATATTTGTAAAATTCACCACATCACGGAAGGCTCTTCTCTCATAAAACAAAACACGACCTCATTCCCCTCGGCTGTTTTCTATTTCTGTTCACCATGTCGCTTACCTCGTTGGACGCTACGTAGAGAAATCGAGCTACTAGTTTTATTAATTCTTATCACCTATACTTTCTTTTCATCGATCTCAAATTGTGACGCATTCCAACTCACCTTCCACTTTTTTAGCTCAGTTATCCGGACCTCTTTGATGAGCCAATTGGCTTCAGGTACCATATGTGTTCTATTGGGTGGGGTAAAATTTCTGGTGCTTCAATATTTCTGTGATACTTTTGAATCAACTTCAGGAAACCAGTTCTAAATATTGTTTTATTTATTACAAACGTGGTAGAACAAAAAATAATAGCGGTTCCCAGAGGAATCATCATCAGCCTTTACATAAATTCTCCAGATGTTCGGCAACATTCTGCATGCGCCATGCAGGCAACGATCAATTTAATTGCAGGCTCTCACGAAGCGACCTCCATATCCTTAAGTTACGTGCGGTCCCGCCATGCGCCAATGCTACTAAATTATGAAGTAATCCGTGCTCCACGCAATTGCCTGAAACCAATATAACATGCAGCATATATCTATCTAATCGACTATATCTAAAGACAATGACCTTCAATTTTGGCCATAGCATCTCTATATATATCAATTACGCATACAGAAGACTTTCCGCGATCGTCCATAGAAGAGCTACCTGTGAGCCGCAAGCCTAAGATCTTGTAAACCGTGGAACGTGTGAGAATTGTAACAAAGCAGAGTTAACGTCAGAGGCAGCCCATTACAACTTAGCTGGAGGTGGTCAGTGTGCGGATGAAAAAAACCATGAGAAACGGCCAGAACCCGAGAAATGGGACCCTTCCTTGCCCGTTGATTTCCGCATTGATGCGACTCTCATCGGTGCTGCCCTCTTCAACGCTAACGCTCTCTCTGCTAAACGGCTAGAGACCTGCGGCGAGTGGTTAGCCAGTCGGTGGGCGTGCCGCGTCGATAGCGCCGCGGAGGAGGGCCATGCTAGGTTGCCGGTCCGCATCCTTAAAGGCAGCGATTACGATAAAGAGGAGCGCATCGGGAAGCATATGCACCACACGAAGCAGTTACTTGGCTGCCAAGGAAGCGAGGTGTGGCGCTTTCACGACGAAAGGTGCGCTGGTTGCTGAGCAGGACTTCGAAAGCACTCCGCCCCCAAAAGCGATCCGCCCACTAGTTTAGTTGGTGATTTGGACGAGCTGCGTTGCCAGCAGCGGCACAACTGGAGCAACTCGATTGGAGCGTGGTTTGGCATGGTGCCACCAAACGCGTTGCGGTGAACTCGTTCATACGTCCGCTTTCTGAGCTGTTACCTGTTCATGAGTGAAAACCAACGGCCAAAAAAGGGGTCCCGTTTTGCGTTTTCTTGACGGATTTCTCTGCTTTTTCGCCACTGGCGTACCACTGAGCACCACCTCGTCTCTCTGAACCCTCTTTCAAATTACCGTAATCGCTGCCTTTTAGGGGTTCGCATGTCTTTCCACTAGGTAAGTTTACCCTTCTTCGACCTTCGATCTTTTTTCACCTTTTCCGACCTTGGACTTTATCGTGAAATCCTCCTTTAGAGCTGAATGCGATTTTTTCGAAAGCCCACTACTTTTTTGATATCAGTGTTTGTAATTGATAATTATAATAATGGTTAGAATAATCTCTGATCACTTTCAACATCCCCTTGAAATGTTGGTGCATCAGCAAATTTGTTCCACCCTGTATCAGGGAGACTGTAATTCATCCAAACCTCCTTCTTGCTACCTCATTCATTCATGCATTCGTCATTCTTCTCAGCTCCACCGCATAGCGCACTCTGTTGACATGAATCTGAGTGTACATGCACCCACTGGGTGTGTTTGTGTTCGTGAAAGCAGAAACAACCACAAAGATGTAATAAGTAGTAGACGACAAGCATCGATTAGCAAAAATCGCGTGATGAGAATTAGGGGTAGAAATTTGCTTTCGCTTCTGAAGATTGCTCTTTCATTTCATTCATGATTTTTTCAATGGTCAAAGGCGTTGCAAATATCTCGAATAGTTTTAGAGTATGTGGGAGTTTTTTTTTTTCCAAATCTTAAAAGGGGGGGAGAAACCTATTGGGCAACTCATTGGGCTGGTTGTATGGAGATGGCTCTCTCAACTTGAGTAGCTACGAAGAACCTATAACATCCCTTATGACAATCAGTGAAGACTTCAGCGAATGTCTCTATGTTACGCCACGCATTCTATTTCCATTCATAACCATGGTGGCATTTGATTGCAGTAGGGCTTATGCAATGATCTGCGGGATTAGCCGATGTGTTTTGTGACAAGGGAGTGTTTTTATCCTCTCAGACAAATCACGAATGCACCGACCACAGATTGACTTCAAAGAGTTGGTTGGTCTGAGAGAGGTTCGATCCGAGATCTGACGCAAGCCGAGCGGGTGGGCAAAAGGCGTTACTTACCACTACACCATACCCTTTGATATAATCCTTATTATGGCCGCACAATGTGCTATATGACACAGTTGTGAAAGGTCTCTAATTTCGTGCATATTTTAGCCCCACCTAGCCTTCTCATCCCTATACTTATACCCCTTCTAGTGTCCACATAAAAGGATGTGCTCCCTTGTCCTCCTAACAGACTTCTTCCTACAGTATAAAGGCTTCGTGTGACGTAACTGTTGTTACGTTATTGTACTGCGCAGCAGTTTTCGGAAGACTGGCTTATCCCAAAATGCTTCGAGTCATGTTTTGGAACAAACGAATCTTCCGCCTTGAGCCTAAAGGAATCGTCCGCGGAAAATTCTTGCATTCTTTCCTAACATGAATATGTCAGTTGTGATCACTAGAAATAACACACAAAGTTTCACGCATGAAGATTCAGTTTTGAAGAGAAACAAACTTACAAAACCACACTCTATGGACGGTCGAGGGTAGGTGGGGCGGAAACAAGGGAACGCATGGAAAGAAGTGCGTCACCGCTATCGATAGAATAGGATTCGAATAGAAAAGAGAAATGCTATTGTCCCAGGTGGAGAAGGCCAAAAAAAGTTTCTAGTGAAGGCACTGCGATATCCAAATGGGAGTGCTGCGCTAGCATTTGTGACAGATGTACGAGAGGAACTTGAACGTGTAACACTCCTTCGCGTTTTCCAATTATTCACAGAAGTACAAACAATTTTTCTGTTTTTTTTTTCATTCTCATTGTGGATGATTGGTCTCATATTCTAATTTGTGGGTGAGAAAGAACCATGATTTTCCATGGGCGACTCCTTTAATTGAGATTCAAAATTTCTTTTTCAGATCGAATTTCGTGGACGGCTGGGAACGAGGAGGAGCAGCTTTTGTAGTCTACTTCAATGGTAAAAAAGTCGTGGATTTGTGGGGAGGATATGCTGATAAAGAATGTAAACGTTTATGGAAGAAAGACACGCTGAATGTCGCCTTTTCCTCCACAAAGGTGAGTTTTTTCGTTTAATGTCTCCGACTTGGTGTTTTTGGTCCATTCAAATTCATCAATGCGAGTAACGTGGTCAAATGGTCGGGTTGGGAAAAAGTGTGACAAGTAATATGAGCTTGCAGTTTTATATTGGCCTTGAATCGACCTTCCCCACCCCCTTGCCCCCTGGAAGGATGATGGGGCCGTCTCATATTGTAGTTGTGGGTGAGCGGGAGAGACGATGATTTTCCATGGCGACATCCTTGTTAATTGAGGATTCAAAATTTCTTCTTCAGGATTGAATTTCTGGACGGACGTTAGCCCAAAGATTATATAATAATTGAGGTAGATAAATCCTTTTGATGGCTAGGATAGAGCTGCTCCAACAACTATGCGACTGTCCGTTTCTCATGGTTCCAAAGTGCGCAACAGAGCACTAAAGCCTTACAAAACCTCTTCGACCGCTTACAGTTCTTTCCAGTCCGCGACATGTTGCCGTCTGCGCTCTCTGATCGCTTGTGCTTTCTCGCCTGTTGTCTCTATTTCCACCTCAGTCTCTCCTTACATTAGCAAAAATGAGAGCGAACGCTCAATTTTTGAGTTTTCGACGGTTTCTTTTCCTCATTCTTCACTACCGACCATCGTTACCACTTTCTCTGCGCAAACCGCTTACCTTTTGACTCCCCTGAGCGGCGTGTGCTGGGCTCCCTGTCTCTCCTGAGTGGATCATTTCCCAGACTGCGTCTGTGGTGGTTGAGCTAAATCAAACAACGGCCGCATTCATTGCATAGTAAAATATACCTTCAATGTCACTACAAATTTGATTGCGGGACAGATGCGTGGCTCATTCCGAAGAGCCCAAATCAGTATGGAAAGTTCTATACTTCTTGTTTGTGAACAGTAGTTTTTAAGGCGGTTGCGGCTATTTGCGTGGCGCAGCTGGTCGATCAGGGACACCTGGATTATGACGATCTGGTCATAAAAGTACTGGCCGGAATTTGGTAAGCATGGAAAAGAAAACGTCACCGTCCGTTGGTTACTCTCGCATAGAGTGAGTTTATAATTTTAATATGCCTCAACTAATGAAATCTATGCCTTCATTATATGTAGTGAAAATTATATTACAGGCTGGTCTGGCTTACACTGATGAAGAAAATCGCATTCGAAATAGCCAACGACTGGAAAGCGATCGCGAAGGTGTTCGAGAATCAGGTGGGTACACTGATCTACTCCTTCCATTCCCATCTTTCATTGCCATGTTTTAGGTCCCTAACTGGCCGCCCTGGAACCGAAATTGGTTACCATGCAATAACTTACGGATGGCTTGTTGATCAAATCGTTCGCAGAACAGATCCCAAGCACCGATCTATTGGCGTTTATTTCAAGGAGGAAATTGCAGACAAATACAGTAGAGTTTCGCGAGCAATCGCAGCATTGCAGAGCAATCTTTTGAATTCCATTCTCACTTTATTGAATGTTAATTTCGTTAGACCTGGACTTCCATATCGGTTTACCTCGCTGTGAATCTTCACGTGTTTCTCGACTGACTCCCCCGTCGTCGTGGAATTTCATTCAGGAATATCTTCACAAACCCAGTGATTTCGCTGTTGGGAGGTGAGACATTCACATCCAGTACAACTCAGAGTGAAAATGTTAAAGTTAAAGAGGATCACATCCTATTTATAAACGCCAAGCATTAGGCTTTGGTTCTTCTTTCTTTCGTTTTTCTTTTTCTGGCAAGGGGTTACCTATCGGCGGGGTGTAGTGGCACGAGCGACGCAGGTACGGTCCTGCTAGGCCGCTGAGGCATACTCTTCGCTGCGGAACGCGCATCGTCCGGCCGCCTGCCTTCCTGCTAGCATATTTTCTATTCTTTGACCTCCGATTTGATCGCCGAATCCTGAAAGCAGAGAGCAGCGGATGTGTGTCAGGAGGTCCATGTTGCGTCGGTGTGGTGAAAATTATATGGGAGTGCGGAATTATATTGGAAGCTGTAATATTAAGTCAAATTAGATTATCTTTTGTCTCTGCGATTTCTAGAATTCCAAGTGACGGAAGGAATTCGAGCAATAAATGGTATGGGCTGTACACCACCATGATTTAGTTGACCTGACAGAAATCAAGGGGAAAATCCATCTGTAAGCCACTTTTCTTGGAATGGACCTCATAACCCATGATCTTGTCCTTAAGGATGCTAGGACATGGTAGGGGTCACCTCTCTAGGGTATCGTGGCTCTTTCTATCATTGTGGTGGGTTTTCAAGTAAAACCGTTTGAAGCTACATGTACCTAAAAGTAATCCCTACACTCCGCAGAACCCGCTGGGGAGGTGGGTGTTGTGCGATTTGGGCATTTTCCTAATTAGCGCTGTCCGTCCTCTTTCTGCCCACACAATTGCTTTGAAATTTCAGATTCGTTTACCAAATGCTAACTGATGGTCTTCTTTCAAAAGTTGGTCACAACGTACCATGGATCGCGTTTGTTAAGGTGAACCGGACCAGTTTTATGCTGCAATTCATTTTGACAGTTTCGGCCACGAAAAGGTCCTCATTTGTTCAAGGAAGTCATCATTTCTTGTAAAAGCAAATTGAGTGTTTAGGACCTGACCCTGAATGATCCTGATCTGTACGGAGATTGAACAAGCGGGCGTTCTTGGCATTGGTACAGCTCGCGCAATGGCAGAGCTCTTCGAAAAGCTACGGTAATCGCTTTGTATCGCCATTCCCTCAAAAAATGCAAATTCCGCTTTTTTCAGACTCGGAGAATTGATGAGTGCAGAAACGTTCAAGAAGTTCACAAGTGATTACGTCTTGAAAAGGGATATCGTGACTGGAGCGTATGTTCCACGGGGACAAGGCTTGATGATCAAGCATTTCCATCACAAAAATGTACGATGTTCCTATTAGATTAACACATTGACGACCGCGCGCGTTTTGGCTTTTTTGGCCGTGTGGGACCGGGCCGATTTTGCGAGTGCGACCGCCGCACCTCGGATCCGTGAATTTTTATTGATAACTTTTTAAAGCACCAGTGGTACAAAAACATCTCAGTAACAGTCAATGCGTAGAAGGTAATAGAGTATATAGTGACGAAGTTCCGATTAAAGAACATGTAATGGTAATGAAAAAGGAAATTTTAGTCATTTTATCTGTAGTGGATGCCAAAAGCTCTTTTGATGTGGTTATACCAAGTGAAACATGTATTTTTCTGTCTCTTTAGATTTGCATTTACTTTCACTACCCTTTTTTATTGACGTGTTCATGAGAATAGCATGAAAACTATTAATGAACCAAGCCGCCGGTTTCGGTGAGCTTGGAAAACTTCTTCTAAACTGGAGCATATTTGAACAAACAATGACCTATGTCGTTCACAATAATGTTATGTTCTAATCCATAGAAGAGAGACAAACAATTCGGGAAAAAGCTGCGCATGCCCTAGAAAAAGGGATGATAAGGGTGAGACGCGGTAACGCGTCTCTCAATGTCCAACGAGGTGCGCAAAGTGAGACGCGTTACCGCGTCTCAATGTCGTCAATTTAACCAGTCCACGAAGTAACTTCG